CATTGTCTACAAGCCCGGGCTACACAACAAAGCTGACGTGTTGAGCCGCCCCGGTCATGTAGCAGGCATCCAACTCGACGGGATGAACCCTCTGCTCAAGGGTCTATTCCAGCATGGATACTCCGTGGACGCAGAGATCGCTACAGCAGAGAAACAGAAGCTGTTACAGTGGGAGAAGGACCTAGCTGTAAGAAAGGGATCAGGAAAGATTTGGGTACCGAACTATGCCCCGCTCCGACAGATCGTACAGGAGGAGTTTCACGATGTGGCATACGCGGGACATTTCGGGAGCAACAAGATGTTAGCGGGAATAGCAAAGTATTATTACTGGCCCCGGATGGCAACAGACGTGCAGCAGTTCGTCACTTCATGCGACACGTGCCAGCGGATGAAGAATAGCAAGCAGAAAAAAGTAGGGTTACTTCAGCCTTTACCCGTACCGGAGCAGCCATGGCAAGTTGTCAGCCTAGACTTCATTACTGGGCTTTCTTCGACCTCACGAGGGCATGATGCTATACTCGTGGTGATCGATAAGTTCTCTAAAATGGGACACTTCATCCCGACCAACGCCACGGCTAATACTGAAGCACCTGCTCGCCTCTTCTTCGACCGCATCATCACCATCCACGGCATCCCCGCTACACTTATCTCGGACAGAGACCCAAAATTTACTAGTAAGTTCTGGAGGGAACTCATGGGACTGTTGGGGACAAAGCTTGCGATGTCTTCAGCATACCACCCTTAGACTGACGGACAAACTGAGCGACTCAATCAGGTGGTTGAACAGTTACTGCGCACAGCTTGCAAAGACGACATCAGCCACTGGGATCTACAGTTACCGACGCTTGAGTTCGCTTACAACAACGCGTCGCATGCGGCCACAGGGAAATCTCCATTCTTCCTGTGCTACGGACGGGAACCACTTACACCACAACAGCCAACCACACCAGCACACGTCCAAGCCGCACACGACTTCGTCACCACCATGCAGCAGCTATGGGAGAAGACTCAGCGACGTCTCACCACGATGCAGAACTCCCAGAAGCAGTATGCCGATCGCCAGCGACGTGATCACTCAGTAGCAGTCGGAGATCAAGTGCTTCTTGACACGCACAACTTGAACCTGTCTCACCTACCGTCCAAGCTCCGGCCTCGCTTCTGTGGTCCCTTTCGCGTTGAGGCGATCATGACACCAGTTACATTCCGCTTGCGCTTACCTACTACGTGGAAGCTTCACAATGCTTTCCATGTTCAGCTACAAAAGCCCTACAAGGACCCCAACCAACAGTTCCAGGGACGCCAGCTACCGCCACCATCACCTGTTCTCATACAGGATGAACCAGAGTACGAGGTGGAAAAAGTTCTCGCTCATCGACGCAGACGCGGCTACACGTTCGAGTTCCTGATACGCTGGAGGGGATATGACCCATCGGAGGACAGTTGGGTTGCAGAAGCTGATATGGGCAACGCACGCCGTGCTCTCAAGTACTATCTTGTCAAGCAGGGTGTTTCTCACGCCACCCAGCTTTGAGGGGGGGACGTGTGAGAGTACGACGTCATTGCTACGCTTTAGTAGCTTGATTCTGCTTTACTATGCATTATCTAGCTTAGCTTTGCTTGATTTTGCTTGCTTTTGCTAGATTTCCTAGGTTCGTTGCTTTTACTATATTATTATAGTTATAGGCACCGAACTAGGTTGAGTGCACCGAATTCTAGGCTATTCGGTTGCCACCAAATTGCCTTCTACCGAATTCGGGAAGGACCCATTCGGGACGCTTCGCGACCCGCGGAACCTTCTAGTAACACCCGGGTTACTGCCTTTGTGTCGAGCCTATATATAGCCTCGCCTTGTACCTAGGTGAATCATTCAATAGAATCATCTTTCCTGAACCAGATCCTCACAGGATTCCACTGCCTAGCTGCGCGCTGCTACGTGCAGTTCGCGGGCTAAGTAGCTAAATCGCCGGTTGGTCGGCAAAATCGCGGCTTTGCGGCTAGGTCGCGAACGGGGCGGCTAAATCGCCGGCTGAGCGGCTAGATCAAGGCGTAGGCGACTAGATCATGGGCTGCGCAGTGGGATCGCGGGCTGGGCGGCTAGATCGCGGGCTGGGCGGCTGAATCGCGGGTTGAAAGGCTGAGTCGCGGGCTACGTGGCGGGATCGCGCTGTTACTAGCGGGAATCACGCTGCTGCCTAGCGGGAATCGCGCTGCTGCCTATCGAGAATCGCGCTGCTGCCTAGCGATCAATTGAATTGCCCTGAAATTGGCTCTATAATCTCCACAAAGCGATCAATAGCAGTTGTGCCTACGTCCTTAGTGCCACTGTGCCAATATTTGGTCTTAGGCCACCCTGCAAAATCAGGGTGCCATACAAACCTACCAGAATCAGTGTAACTGCCAGAAATCGGACCACAAAAAAGGGTAATTAGCGCATCTTACCCTAATATGTTGGCCCTCCCAGTTTGCTATCCCCTGCATTCCACACGCTTTTGCCCCGTTAGTGCAATCCTCGTTTCTGCCCACGTAATATTGCGATAAACCTCCCTGAAGATAGAATAAGGACAGCCAAAGCTTTCTCATCCCGTCGACGTTGCCAGTTCTGACAAACGTGGAGGGCACTTACTTTAGCCTGCTTGAGAGCGTGTTACTTACCCCTTAATTTGGTGACAGGCCCTGGTTGCCCCAAAAAGTCGACCCAACCTGACTGGTCGGGTCGACCGGGCTGTAAATCTAGCCGGTTGGGTACCAAGCAGTCAACCTGCAAATGTACCATCCGCTTGCTTTTGGGACCCAACCGTCCAAATAGTATTTCGGGTAGACCCAACAGTTCGTGCGCCAATCTTGATGGCCAACCTTTAAAGCTCTTTGCCCAAATTGCGAAAGATTAGTAATCTTGCGCAAGGCTTAGGGCTGGGGGGCTTGGGAGTCAAACACAAACTCGAGTGGGTGTTCGGTTGGTTTGGTTGGCAGATTTCGCAACATCTCTCGCCAACTTCGCTCAGTCAGCAAACCTACGGGCAAACTTGTAATTTTGGACCTCGAGTCCCAAATTGCAGAATAAGCAAACTTGAAGTTTGAGCGGTGGGTTTGGCGACGACCAATCGGATTCCTTCGTACCTGAAGTAACCCTAAATGCGCCAACTCAGAGCACTCACATCAGCAGCGAGTCGCCAACCACAGCACACAAAGCAGCAAGAAGGCAAAATTAGTAATCTTGCCCAGCGCGGCCCGCAATTTGGGCCTTGAGCTTTAACGAAAAGTTTCTTCCACCAGTCGCGTCGAGTCTCGCTAGTGCAACCTGCCCGCAAAGTTTTTTTATACCCCCGATTGCGCACCATATTGGTACGTTGCGGCTTGGTTGCCTCGACCTGGTTGTATGTGGTCGCGACCAACCTCTTAGTATAGCTCAGCCGACAAGCGACTCCACCCAGCGGAGCTCGCTGCCCGCGGGCAAAAAAAAAAAACCCTAGACGGGCATGCATCCGGTTAGAGAGGCAGCAACCCTAAACACAGGGAGGCATGGATTTAGGGTTGATGCCTCCCTCGGATGGCATGCCATCCGATGGGGTTTTAGTTTTTTTCTGCCCGCCGGTCAGGTCGACGGTGGTCGACGCTCCGTCGACCACCGTTGGACCCCGTTTGGTTGAGACATTCCGCATGATATATCTTAGCGGACAAGCGAGTCCGCCCGGGGGAGCTCGCTGCCCGCGGGCAAAAAAAATAAACCCCAGACGGGCATGCATCCGGTCAGGGAGGCATCAACCCTAAACACAGGGAGGCATGGATTTAGGGTTGATGCCTCCCTCGGATGGCATGCCAACCGACGGGGTTTTAGTTTTTTTTTTCTGCCCGGGGCAGCAGGTCGTCAGGTTGTCGGAGGGTCGTCAGGATTGACGACCCGTTTCCGCTGAGAGATTCCGGTTGGTTGACTGCGTGGTCGCCTCGACCAAGTGTGAGGATGCCTTGGTACACACGTGTAGACTCTCGGGTAATCTAGTAACCCTACGTTCAACCCAACCCGACCGTTACCAGGCAACCGTTACCAGGCCCCAAAATAAGGGGCACGTAACACGCTGAGCATCTTCTTCGGTGTAACGATCGTTCCTGAAGAGCCCGGATTTAGACACATCGGTTACGGTAGCTTTGGCCCTAGTGAGGTCGTGGCATGGCAGTAAAGGCTGCGGCTCCTCAAGGGCTGTCTGATGGCATCGACAAAGACGAGGTGTGCCAGCTCTCTGTCTTGAACCTGTCCTCCTCAGTCTTTCCGTGCATAGCGCGCTATCGCATCTGGGTTGCTTCGCGAGGTTTCCAAGCACATGAACGTTCGCTGGAGGTTCATTCTGGGCTCGAATTCGAATAGATTCTTGTTTAGTGGAGGTCTGGAGCCTTTTGCGTCTCACAAGATTTCGCGACTGTGACAGACTGTTGATACTTGCCGCAATCTCATAGATTGTAGTACGTCACAAAAAATGGGACGACCAAATGCTTTCAACATTTTGCGTATCTAGCAGCCATGTGCAGCCAGGCATGGCCCAGAAAGCCCTCTCTAATCCCCTAGCATTCTTTCCATGCCTAGCAATGCGTATGCACTGCCATGGTTGCTACTACCAATGTACCCCCTTTCACATTGTGTGTTCGGGAGGGTTGTCTGTCGGGCGCAGCTGATATGGTTCACTTCATTGTGAAGAGTCTTCCCGTATTAGAATAAGAATGGTGTTTAGCCTGTGATATAACACTGAAATTGATGACAAAAAGCATTTATTCAAAACACAAACAAACCCACACAGCAAAAGCCTCCTGGCTACAAAGCCTCCCAACGTCTACATCACCCCCCACCTTGCAACAAAACCTACAAAAGGGAAAGAGATAAAATACAGATGCAATTTAGTGCTTGCATATCGTGCGTCTGCGCCGCACCCAAAACACCTGGAACACGCTGTGGCAACAACTCCAGCACGGGGTTCCGGCAACAAGAAACCTCTGCAGCTTCCAGGGCGGCCTTAGGTCAACTCCTCGCGGCAGCGGCCCGCCCACCTGTTCAGATACCAGAGTCGAGGAGTCACAAACGACTCCACCATGTGCACGGTCCTCTTCATGGCTATGACCGGCACGAGATCGTAGCTCAGATTGTTGTCGGAGGGCCGCATCCTCATGCAGCCAGTGCCTTCGTCCACCTGGAAGGGGTACCACTGCCTCACAAATGCCACGGCCTCTCCCGCGGGGTGTGCATCCTCGGTGTTCATCATCAGCGTCAGGAGAAGGTGCACGCGACCGTGCACGATCTCCCCGCTCCCGTTCTCATACTCGATGAACGAGAAGGAGGGAGCGCCATGGTGCGAGGGGCTGGCGCGGACATAGTGCGGCTTGATCAGGCCGTAGTCCATCTCGCGGGCTGGCAGAGCCAGCGCCGTGTGGACCTGATATGGCAGAGAGGGGTAAGGAGGGCAGGAGAGATCAGGATGGGATTACGGTTGACATGGAGGGCAGGAGAGAACAGAGAGGGCTGTGACAAGGAAACGCAGAAACCATGGCGGGCAGAGGCATGGTCAGGGTAGGGCATGGGCTGAAAGAAGAAACAGCAGTGCTCCCTGGGACATAGAATGGACAATGTTTTCACAGTGACTGAGCATAGTTTCCCCGTTATTTTTTTCGCTAGTAGCTGCCTCGTGCTGTGCCTTAGACGTTCGCAATCCTCGTTTCAGTGATGCTTTGTTACTGTTTTTCTGATCCATGTGCAGATCTATGAGATGGCAGCTCAACAAATGGAGTACCGAGTGAGCCTATTCAACTCGTGAGTATTCACTCTCCAGTTCCGTCAGGAATCCCACCCCCTCATGCCTCATACTCCTTCTGTCGCCAACCCCTCTCCCTCATTCACTCTTTCCTGTCACCTTTCCTTCCTCTTCCCCCCCTTCTCTCGTTGACTCTTTCACTTCCCTTCTATTTTAATTCCCTCTACCTCACTACCTTGAGCTTTATCCCTCCCCCTACCAAGCCCTCCTTCACCCCTTTCGCCATATTCGTTAATACATCAGTCGGGTTGCATGAATGTGGCAGCTCAGCATTCTCTCTCTGTGCCTTTCCGTCGTTTGCAAACACCAACCTCTCACTTCCCCTTTCCAATGGGGTTTGCTTTTCTGGCCCCTTTCTTTTTTCCATTTCATTTTCTTGTTCAATTTCACGATAGCATGCTGGCAACGTGTTTCGACAAGTGCTATGAGAGGGTTGCATGAATGTGGCAGCTCAGCATTCTCTCTCTGTGCCTTTCCGTCGTTTGCAAACACCAACCTCTCACTTCCCCTTTCCAATGGGGTTTGCTTTTCTGGCCCCTTTCTTCTTTCCATTTCATTTTCTTATTCAATTTCACGACAGCATGGTGGCAACGTGTTTCGACAAGCGCTATGAGAAGAAGTAAGTAGTGAATCCTTCTTTCTGTCGTCCATCATTGACCGTACAATGTCTCACTGTAACTCACGTTGTGCATTGCGTTGGTAAGGTAGCTTGCAACAAGCTCTGACTCACTGAGTATGCTGCTCCTTTTTTTTTTTTCAACCAGTTGTCTGGATACATTTCTGCAGCAGGAATGCATGGATCATTCCCTTATTTTTTAACCCTACTGTTTGCACTAGTTCTGCCATCTATCATGCCATTCATTCAGGTACAAGGAGTCAGAGTTGAATCCTGGAGAGACTAGCTGTGTTGATCGATGTGTTTCCAAATACTAGCAGGTGAGTTCAAATCAAGCCAACAATCTATGGAATATGTGGTTGAGAATGTTGAGTGGGCCGGGATTGTTTGTGATGGCTGAAATGAGTTAGTTTGGCGAGTGTGTGTGCGGCGATATTCTAATGGTGGTGCTGTTTTATGCCACGTGTGCAAACAGGTGCGAGGGATCATTGGCCAATACCTCGGCGTTTCTCGCAGTGGGATGTGATGGCTGCAGGACAAACATGTTTACCTATGTAATGCTGCTTTAGTATGATGCCTTGTTCCATTATCTGTAGTTGTCTTGGCTAGTTGAATTAGCAAAAAAAAATGCTTGTTGCGTTGAAGCGCGGTGTTCTCAATCGCGTTTCCGAGGGGTTAAGGGTTAAGGTTATATTAAGGTCGTAACCTGTTACAAACATGCATAGAGCAAGCAGGGAATATGGTCAAAGGACCAACAACCTATAAGGAGTACGTCAAAACACGTTATTCCCCTACCCTCGAGGGGATATCCCCCAGCCATCGTGGGAGAGCGCTCTATGATGAGGGGCAACATCTATGGGGGACGGAAGGGGTTGCCAAGTAGCCACGAGGCACGGGTAGGATGGATGAAGGGGACGCCTGAGGCATCAAAATAGATGAACCGGAGGCGTATGGCAGTCCTGATGCGGGAGGCGGAGCGCTGTTGTTTCTTAGCAGACTGAGCGGACCTTCTCCTCAGAAAGATCTTGAAAGCGAGGAGAAATTGAGCGAGGATTAGTTGAAGCACTTCAAACTTGGTGGAAGACGAATCGTGGAACTTTCTTTCGCATCTTGCATTCCAAATTTCCTTGGCAGCTGCACCTCCAGGGAGCGAATTGTCCAACTCTCTCATGGAGAGGAAAAATGAGAAGCTCATCCGGGGGCGAACAACCGAGATGGCGGCGGGCGACCGAGCCGAGCGATGATATAACAGCTGGAGCGATACCACATGTGAGGAAAATGTGGGAGATGGTCTCAATTTCTCTGGATGCACAAAGAGAGCAGCGGCCTCTGTCACTGGCAAATTGAAATCGTGCGCCTGAAGGAAGGGTCCGGGTGTAGAGGCAAAAGAGGAGGTCTCGTTGCAGGCTGGGTTGCTCCCAAAGAAAGTCATGGGTGAGGTTAGGAAAAAAAGGGGGAGGAGAGGATGCGAGGAAGCTCGTGATCCAGTTGCTGTTGCGAATAGAGGAGACGGCGGATGGAGGCGAGATCTGGGAAGCCGTCGTTGAGAAGCTCCAAACGCGCACCTAGCCCTGCACCTGTATGAAACGGCCCTGCCACCCATCTATCCAGGGTGTGCACGGCCGCAATGTCCTTAATGTGAACAATGCCAGAGCCAATGGGGGTCCGATCGATGAGACGATGTGGGAGGATCCGGAAGAAAGGTCACAGAGAGAGTGCGCGGCGGGGTGAAGGAGGAGACCTGCAGAGCAAGCGTGGGGGTGGAATGAAGTTCCTGAGAGAGGATGAACCACTCCCCGGGTGATGCCGCAGCGTTGGTGGGGGCACGGAGCGCCGTCGTCCATAGCCGCGACGAGTTCACGTAAGACACGACGACCAGACTGAAACCGGGACGGTGGGAACTTGACAGCGAAAGCCTCCGGAGAGATGGGTTCCAAGCCATTAAATGTGGCATTACAGATGTCACCAAGGCGGACCTGTTGTGTAAGGAGGAACTTTTCACAGCGGATAAGGCCAAAAGGTTTTCCGTTGGGTTTGAGGATAAAGCGGTTGAAGGCCGTGGGTTCGACGAGCGGACAGAGGGGTGACATCCGAGGGGGTAGGACAGTAGGAGACATAGACAAAAAGGCGCGGAGTTCTGCGAGCGCACGTTGGGGGATGGACGGGGACAGTACCTTAGGATGAAGAATTGCCGGATGGGATAGGAACGCATGGGAACCGAAAGGGAGGGCGACAGCATTCCTAGTGACCTCCTCAGAGGGGGAAACCCCAAATCCTCGTAGCGCACATTGAATGGAGAGGGTACGGATCTGTGTGGAAGGCGCGATGGCACCGAGCCCCCCGTCACGGGGGGAGTTGTACAAAATACGGCGAGGGATAAGGCGAGCTGCTAGGCCAGATTCCTTGTAGCGGGAAGATGATAAGAAATTGCCGACGGTGGTGTCGAGGCGTGTGAGGGTGTCAGGCGGAGCCAGCTGAAAACGGCCGGGGAAGGATAGGGTAGAATTGAGAAAAACCGACGCAAGGGATTTGCGGTATGTGGCGGTAGCCCGCAAGGACGCAAGATACCTGGAGGAGCGTTGGACTCTCGCGAGGGTTGTATTCCAGGTCGTGGCGCCGGGGTTGTCTTTTTCAACGAAAATTCCGAGGATGCGTTCAGCCTCGTTAAGAGCGCGGATGGGGATGGGTCCTGCATTCGTGAGTAGCGAGGAGGAGATGTTGAAGGGGATAATGGAGCATTTGTTCCAGTTTGGGGATTCCCCAGAAATTGAGGCGAATGTCAGGAGGTGAGAGACTGCGGGGCCGAGTTCGTTGTTCGAAGAGAGAAAGATGGTCACATCGTCCGCATAGCAGGCCATGAGACGGCGAGTCACAGGAGATAGGGGACCACCTGGAAGGTATAGGGACATGTACCGATGGAAAATCTCAATGACACAGATGAAGAGGAGGGGGGCTAATGGGCAGCCCTGGCGAACACCAGTGTGGATGGGAAAGAGCGGACCCGCAAGGTTATTAACGACAATGCACGTGGAGGTGTCAGAGTGCATGAGGCATACCCAGTGGACAAATGGCGAGGGTAGACGCAGGCAGGAGAAAAGCTCGGTCGACGAGGTCATATGCTTTGCGGAAATCGACAGTAAGAGTGAGGAGGGGGGTGCGCGAATACGAAGCCCAATCCATAATGTCAAGAGTATCGTTGATGGTATCGCCAATTTTGCGGCATTTGATAAAGGCAGTCTGGGAGGGGTGAATAATATGAGAAAGCACGCACTGGAGGCGGTTGGCGAGGCATAAGGCAAGCACCTTGTAGTCAGAGTTCATGAGCGTGATGGGTCGGAGGTTTTCTACGAGCGTAGAGTCACCCTTCTTGGGAATAAGAACAGTGCGACCAAAGAGCATAGACAAAGGTAATGCGGTGGGGGATTGTGAGCCTATCAAGGAATGGAAGGCTAGGGCAAACCGGGGAGTGAATGATCGGAAGAGCTCACCAGCGAGACCATTCGGGCCTGGAGTTTTTCCCCGCGATAGTTGTCCAAGAGCTTTCCCAATTTCAGAGAGGGAGAGGGGTGATTGCAAGAGACGAGATAGCGAGTCGGGCAGGGTGGAGCGAGGGATGTGTCTCCAGAAGGAGGGGTTAGGGACGACGGGCGTGGAGCCAGAGTATAGGTGTTGAAAGTAGCAAGTGCATTCCGTAGTCATTGACGGGAGGTGGGAGGACGTGTCACCATTTGAAAGAGTAAGAGACGAGATGAGAGAGGCTTTGATGCGAGCGTTGAGGCCAGCGAGTAGCGAAGAGAGGCCCATTTCATGATGGCCTTCGACCTTGAGCTTGGCTTTGAGGGCTAGCTCTGCGGTTTTGGAAGCCTCATATTTCATGAGTTGTAACCCAGCTTTGTTGAGGCGGGCGTTGTCTTCCATGCTCAGGGCGGAACAGGCAGCTTGGGTCTGGAGGCGACCTATAAGGTGGCGTAGGTGGGCCATGGTTCCTGAGACATGACGCCGCTCCTCGTTAGAGAAGCATTTAAGACTTAGAGAGAGCTGCTGTTTCCAATGGTCCCAATCGTCTGGAGTCGGTTGGGGGGAAAGGCGTAGGAGATGCGCATCCAAGATGTGGGTCAGGTGTGGGCGGCGCAGCAGGGAGGCGCTAAGCCTCCACGGCCGGGGAGCCATGATGGGGTTATCAAAACCAAGAGAGCACAGTGGGGCAGACAGGTGATCCGAGATAAGGTTAGGGGTGAGGAGGTAATGTGATGCATGGAGGCAGGAGAGGAAGGCGGTAGACACGTAAATGCGGTCCAGCCGAGCGGCCGGAGGGGGGGGAGGCGGAAGTACAGTGAGTCGTTGCCGACCAATATAGGAGAAGAGGGTGGTTGCGGGGTGAAGGGCGCGGAACGAGTCAAGAAGGGAATGGGATGACAAGAGGTTCGAGACTGAGGCGGCCTCGTTCTGCTCATGACCGTGCAGAGTGCGGTTGCGGTCCTCGGGGAGGACGACCGAATTGAAATCGCTAGCAAGAACTATGCATGCGGCGGCAGGGGGGGCTTCGAGAGCCGTAGTGGGGGTGCTTCGCCACCAAACACGACGGGTCGTGGCATGGGGGGGGGGGCATAGATGGCCGATGAGTCGGATTTGTTCGTGCACGAAGTTGATGTCAACAGAGAAAAGTCGTCCATCTATAGATGGGGTGGACGACGAGAAGGAGACAGCCTTGTTAAAAGAGAGGACAGAGATGCCACCGGGAGGGGGGCGAGACCTCAAAGCATTACCAGGAGGGTAGGTAGCAATCGCATGGGCAGACGCGTGTGGCCGAAGTCGGAGGGATAATTTTGGGAGATTCAGGATGAGGCGTGTGTCGATCAAGACAAGTATGTCGGGTTTGTTTCCTTGAGTTGAGATCCAGTTCTGAAGCGCATTCAGTTTATAGGGAGCGTTGAGGCCATTGATATTAAGGCACAATATTTTCAGTTGAGCAATCATAGTAACGGGGATGAAGCCCGACATGCACCAGGGTACACGCATCCACGGGCCATAAAACATGATGGGGGGAAGGTGCTTGTGCTCGTAGAAATGCAACATAAGTGAGGTCGGAAGGATTGCAGCCACTGTTCGTATATGTTCATAGCGACAAGGCGACACCTATGATTGAATGTTCCAAGCACATATATGAGATAGTCGTGAAAGTACATGGCAGGAACATTTCTATGGCAGAATGGGATAACAATAGGACGTGAGGCAAGATCCCATAGGCTGTGTGGAGTTACTGGGAGAGGAATGCCGCAATCTGGGGGGTAGCCAGGAAGGTAAGGGCCCTCCAGTTGCTGTACTTTTCCTTTGCAGCAGGGCCCTTGGCAGCTGCGCGCAGGTTGGAGGTATGCGCATCGGAGGCCATGTGCACCATGGCAGAGTCGAGGGCAGGGCCGCAGGCGAAGTTGCACGGGACGCAGGTCCAGGGCTCGACATCGGTGTCGAGCCCGATGTAGAGGAAGCCCGGGTCCTTGCAGAAAGCATCGGGCGCCGGACGAGCCCCGAGGATTTGGCCTAGGGGTAAGAGTGGGGGGGGCGATAGGAGAAGGGAGCAAAGAAGGTAAAGAGGGAGCATGGCAGGAGCACTTAGAAGGGTGTAGGGGGGCGTTGAAGGGAGACAAGGGGTGTTATGACAAGCGAGCCAGTTCACGTAAGGAGGCAGTAAGGACCATGAGGCTGCTGTAGGGGAAATAAATGGAGAGCGAGGGAGAATGGCAGAGAAACAAGATGGGCCGGAGCCAAGGGGCTGAAGTATCCGTGGCGAGGGAGAGGCACGAGCACAAAAGCCGGGGGAGAGCTGCGGGGCGGGACAGGGGGATGCAGAGAGGGGGCGGGAGGAGAAGCATAACAGCTGAGGACTGGGATGGGGGATTGATAGCCACCTGGCTGCTGGAAGAGTTGTTAAGGGAGGACCTGGGAAGAGGGGGCAGTAGGGGGGACAGGGGGAGAGCGTATCAGGGTAAAGGGGCAGGTGCGCCGTGCAGAAAGAAACGGCAGCAGCCATCAGCACCTGCTTAGCACGATGTCGGAAGGAGGGGGGTGAGGCTGAGGGGGAGGGCAGGGGGGGGCGGGAAAGGGAGAGGACCAAGGGGGCGGGGGAGCTAGGACGGGGTGGTGAAAAACCGAGGGACATAGGCCAGCAAGCATTGGGGAGGGCGGGTGCCTGAGAGTAGGGGGAGCGTGGGGGGAGAGGAGTATGCGAGAGCAATACGGGATCATCCAGAGGCGAGTGGATGGTTGTGGGGGCTGAGATTGATGAAAATATCATACAACAGAGGAGCAAAGGGTAGAGTCCAGTGGCAAAGGTAGAGATGAGAGGGTTGGTTAGAAATAGACAGCAGGAGGCGGAAGGCATTACTGGGAGAAATCGGGCGAGGGAGCAGGGGGGGGATGACCGTACCATTAGTCTGCTGCAGTTGGGCAACAAAAATATGGGTCTTCTTGTTCAGGCGCTGCTTGCGCTTGAAAGTGAAAGTCTCGTAATCCGAGTCACCGTGATTGTTCCCACAGTAGGCGCAGACGTGGGTGGAAATGTTGAGCAGGGCGGGAGGGGAGTCGTCCTCAAACGGGATGACAGCGGGGATGCGGGAGAAGGAAGGGTCATCCGGGGGGGAAGAGGAATGCTAGTGAAGACGGGGAGGAAAACCTCCTCGTAGGGGTCGGTGGTACGATGGAAGAACTGCAGATCCGCGAGCCAAGCCGGCTCGGACGGGTTTGCACCGTGAAGCAGGAATTCGCGGACGTCCTCCGGAGTGAACCCCGGGGGAATGTTCCGGAGCGACAGCGTGGCGGCACCCGGAGCTTTGGCAGCCGTGAAACCCGGGTTGCGATCTTCGAACACCTTAAGAAGCACGGAGCGAGAGGCGCTCAGAGGAATGGAGCGGGGGAAAAGGCGCTTAAAATCCTCTGCCTCTTCCTCCGTCAGCCAGGAGAAGCAGAGCTTTGCATAGGCGCGACGCGGAACCCGGAGCGGCTCGCTGGTGGCAACTTCAAACTCCGGGACAGAGCCGCGGCGGAAGAAATGCGGTTTCAGCATGGCGGTGATGCGGGCGATGAGATCCGCGCGGATGGCATCCACTCCCGTCTCGGGCAGAAGGAGCGTGACCACTGCGAGACGACGGCGGGGCATGACCGGGCCGGGCCTCGGGCGGCGGAGGGTGCGGGAAGGCGCGGGACTAGGAGCGTGGGCCGCCAGGGCGACGCCGGCTCCGAGAGCAGCGCCAGGGCGAGGGGAGATCGGACTGGCAGACCTGTGCAAGGCAAGGGGCGGAGCAGGAGCAGCGAGTGCGGGGGAGGAGGCGCCCAAAGGAGCACCCGAGGCGCTGCCGGTCAGGGAAGGAGCGAAAGCCGACATGACACTGCGAGACGGCGCCGAGGGGACGGGCGCAGGCGGAGGGGCTTCGACGCACACCTTTTTGGCCGCCGGGGGCGCATCAGCTGTAGGGGGATGAGCAAGGGGGATGACGGGGAGCTCATCAAGGTGAAGCTCTTCGCCATCGAGCTGGAGGTCCTCGTCAACGAGGGCCATCTCGTCGTCAGGGTTGTGGATCTGAGTAGCCATGAGGGAAGGGAGAAAAATGATTGAAGGAAAGTAGGCAGTGGGATGAGAAACGCCACCAAGGCTGAAGGATTTAACTACGTAGATCGGGGGCGAGGCGGCTCGTCGGGCCTGGGAGCAGCCGGGGGGGAAGGATGTGTGAGAGCAGGGGATAGTGAGAAGGGGAAAGGTGCGACCCGAATCTGGCTTAAAAAGTCTGAAACGTGGAAGGCCAAAGAGAGAGGACACGGAGGCGATGATTCTAGAAGCGAGTATAGCGATCCAGGGTAGCGTAGATGAATACACGCCATTCGTAATGGCGAGGGGGCAAAGGCGGCAACCATAGCTTCCCCAAAAGTAAGACCAGATGCCTAGGCGGCAGCAAAAGTCACGTGATAAGAAAGTTTTGGAGCAGGAAGCAGAAGAAGCAGCGAAGGGAGGAGAGGGAGTAGGAAAGCCACGAAGACGTGTTTGGAAGGAACCAGCCGAAGTAAGGGGGGAAGTGGGGGAACAGTCACGCGAGGGCAAGGGAGCGGGGCCGAAGGGCAGGTGAAATGTAGGATAGGGGCAAACCAGTCAGCGAGAGGCGAGCATTGAGCATCAGAAGGTCAACAGAGGGCCGCAATTCCATCCAGCTGGCGGGGCAGGGGCAAAACGTGAAGCTCCGAAACATATCTCAAAGAGTTGGCAGAGTCAAACTCTGGGTGACCTGGAAACAGAAAAAAGAAAAGGTGACGTGGGGCAGCGCAGTGAGACAGGAGTGCAGCGGAAGCGGGGAAAAATGTCGAGGATTTTGCATGGATGGGCGAGCGGCCAGATGAGGAAGAGTACGAATCAGAGTGGAAAAAATAATGCGGAAAGAGAATCTGACGTGGAAGGGCCTCGATTGTGCGGAAATCGAAGGCTCTGGAGATAGGCAACCTGGCCAGCCAAGAGGGGCGTGATGAGAGGGAAGAGCAGGAGCAGCGGAGCGTGATAGGGCGTAGGTTGCGACAGCCAGCTCGGCGATGTATGTGGCCTGAAATCACCAGAGAAGGGGATAGCGAAGAGCGACAACAACCAAACCCAAACGAAAACGGAAAAGGGAAATGAACGGAAAACGAACTTACCTTGGGCCAGTGCAGTGTCAAACGCGAAGAGCCAGCTGAAACGAGCAGTGGCTTGCCAGATGCAGGTCCGAAGAGTAAGGAAAGTTACCGCTACCGAGAGATCCCAGTTGGGTAGGCGAGGTTGGGGGGGGGGAAGGCCTCCGTCAGATCTAGATCTGGTGACATCTCGAGGAAGTTACGCGTTTCCGAGGGGACCCGCAATCCTTCAGTTTAGTCCATTACCCATTTCGCTCTCCCCGCAGTGGCGTGTTTCTTTCCAAATCACCGCACTCTTCTGACACAGATCTGACGAACCCGCCAAGAAGGCCTCCAGCCGACCTGATTGTTTGTCTAACCACTGACCACCGATTCAAAACGTAGATAACACCGTTCTTATCATAGCGAGGGCATCGCCAGCCACCCGTAGATTTTTCTGGCTTTCCTGCCAGAGCTGCAAGCGAGTTGGTTTGGGAGAAGATCAAATTGGGGCCGAACATTAGCAGCAAAGTGACCAAATTAGGGCCGGAGAAACCGAACCTGGACTTTTGGAACTAAAAACCGAATTTCCCATACTCGTGATTCAATTTCACTTGTCAGAGGTTTCGACCATCCTGCGCGTCGTAACTGTTGGATTTGAATTTAGATGTCGTTATGTCGCACTAGACGACGCTACCAGAAATTGTTAGGGCAGGGAGAAAAACGAATCCCCTAGAGAACCCGGACACATTTTCGGGAGGATCAACCCTAAACACGTGAACCCAAGTAGAAATTAGGATTGATGCCTCCTCGAGTCGCATCCGTCTCTGACTTGGTTTTTTTTTTTGTCTGCTAAAGTAGTGTAAAATTTTCGAGAACCACGATAAAGTCTACTCCCACAGGAATGTGATGCGAGTTCCGTAATAGGCGGCGATCATAACCCATAAATAAAAATCTGATCCAATAAAGTCAAAATGCTTGTATTTTCATGTAAATCTAGGTTCGAAATCTCAGCCCTACCACTTGGACAGCCTCGGAGGTGCATCCAACGGTTGGGATTTACCCGACCCTAATTTGGTCATTTTCCTGCTAATGTTCGCCCCAGTTTGATCTTCGGGCAAAGATCGAATAGGGGCCGAAAAGTAGCATAAGGGTGTCTAAATCAGGGCCGGGTAACCGAGCCTGATAATTTGAAGTGAATAACAGGTGACCCCAATATCGCGTAATTTATTTCACTTGTGAGAGGTCCTGACGCGTCGTGACTGAGTGACTGGAAACTTAACGTCGCTTACGCCACAAAGCACTAGACGACGCTACCGGGAATTGTTAGGGCACGGAAACAAAACTAAAACCCTTCGCAAACCGGCACTCACACACTGCTATGGACGGGGAAGGTTGGCGATGCGTCGCGTTTCCGGGTCTGGGGTGCTCGTGCGATACCACCGCGGACAAGCTCTCCGCCCGCGCTGTTCCCTGTGTCTTCCTTGGCTTTGTCCCTGACGCGCTTGGTTGGCAGTTTTACCACCCCACCTTGCGCCGTGTCTTCCCCTCTCAGGACGTCACGTTCGACGAGTCGGTTCCCTTTTACCGTCTCTTCCCCTACCGCACTACCCCTCTCCACCCCGCGCCGCTCTTTCTCGCTCCAGGTGCTCCCCAGGTAGACCCCCTCTCCACTCCCGGTCCTGCTCCTTCAGGTGTGTCTCAGGTTGACCCTCCTCCCTTGACTGCGCCGGTTGAGGTCACTGGTGACTCAGGTCCTGCTGCGGGTGGTCCTGCTCGGGGTACTACTTCTGGGGGTGCTGAGCCTGGGGGTGAGGAGCCTGGGGGTGCTGAGCCTGGGGGTGCGGAGCCTGAGGGTGCTGAGCCTGGAGGTGCTGAGCCTGAGTGTGAGGAGTCTGGGGGTGCTGAGCTTGGGGGTACTGAGTCTGGGGGTGCTGCACCTGGGGGCGCTGAGGCGTCTGGTGAGCAGTCTCCCTGGAGCGGCCGTCTCCGTAGTCGCTCCGCTGGTGCCTCGCCGCTGCACTCTCGTCGTCTACTCCCTCTCTCCCCACAGCAGCTGCGTGAGTGGTACGTTGGCCGTCAGGGTCGCGCTGCTGGAGCTAGGGGCCCTGCTGCTGGAGGTGCTGGCGCTGGAGCTGGAGGTTCTGGAGCTGCTGAGGGTGCTGGCGCTGGAGGTTCTGGAGCTGCTGGAGGTGCTGGCGCTGGTGGCGCTGGAGCTGGAGGTTCTGGAGCTGCTGAGGGTACTGACGCTGGGGGTTCTGGAGCTGCTGGAGGTGCTGGCGCTGGTGGCGCTGGAGCTGGAGGTTCTGGAGCTGCTACGGGTGCTGGCGCTGGAGGTTCTGGAGTTGCTACGGGTGCTGGCTCTGAGGGTTCTGAGTCTGCTGTTGCGCGGTCTCCTTGGAGTAGCCGCCTTCGTCCGCGTGTGCCGCTCACGTCACAGCAGCTCCACGACTGGTACGGTCGCCGTCAGGGTCGCGCTTCTGGAGCTCGGAGTTCTACCACTGGAGGTGCTGCTGCTGACGTTGCTCGAGCTAGGAGTGGTACTGGTCCTTTGTCTACTCGCGGTGCTGGAGTTGCTGGTCCCGGAGGTGCTCGTATTGGAGGTACTGGAGCTGCTGGGGCTGGAGGTGCTGAGCCTGCGGGTGCTGCTGCTGGAGACCCTGGGTCTGGGGGTGCTGCTGCTGGTGGAGCTGGTCCTGGAGGTGCTGGCGCTGGGAGTTCTGGAGCTGCTGGAGGTACTGGAGCTGCTGGTGCTGGTGGCACTACACCCCCGGGAATGTTCTTCACTCCACCGTCTCCGTCGTCTCAGCCACCGCCTGACACTGTACTTAGTCAGGTTCTCAGCCTCTCGTCTTTTACTGGTCTTTCGTTACAGCCTGGCTCACCGCTGCCTGCTCCTTCCCCTTACACTGAGCAGGCAGGAGGTCTTGCTGAGCGTCGTGAGCCTGCGTCGCGTCCTGTCTCGCCTGTTCGTTCTGGTCGTACCAGTCGTCGTGTTCCTCGTCCGCATTTGCCGGCGGTCCCCAGAGCGCACCTCGTCGTCCCTCATCCTTTCTCTACTCCGCAGTCTGTTCCTCTCCCGTCTCCTCCTGCGTCCTCTCTGCCTGACGTTGCGGACCCTGAGTTTGACCGGTTTCGTGCTGAGCACCCTACTGTCACGCGTCTGTTAGCCACTGTTGTCACTGACCCGTCGTTTGAGTCTGCTGCTGCGTCTGCCTTGGTCGCTGAGCTTGTCGACTTTGCTGCTGCTTGTCGTCTCGACTACGCTGCCGGTCTAGTTGCTGAGTCTGAGTCTGTCTGTCCTCCGTCCGTCGGGGGTGAGTGTGCTCTTGGCACGGACGTCCTTGAGGACAGACAGGAGGAACTTGAGTGTCTTGCGGCCGAGAGCGAGAGCGAGAGTGAGGAGAACTAGAAGCCGAAGTATTGAAGGACATGGTGCACCATGTGTGACAGAGTCAGAGTGATGGTGCGCCGTGCTCTGTCCCGGGTGATCTGCAAGCCAAGGTAGCTGCACAGCTCACCCAGGTCAGTGCAGGTGTGTCTCTTTTGCAGCTCTGTCTTCACAAGGGTCAGTGCCTCAGTGTAAGCAGTAGCAAAAACCAAGTGGTCGACGTACACGAGGATGTAGAACGACGGCAGCGAAGTGTCGGTGCGTAGAAACAGCGACGGGTCAGCAGTTGAAGGAGCAAACCCAAAAGCCGCAAGCGTCGTCCTCAGTGTGTCGTGCCACTCGCGAGGCGCCTGGCGGAGACCGTAGACCGGCCGCCTGAGGTGCCACTGGGTACCCGCAGGAAACGACCCAGTGAAGCCAGGTGGGCGGCGCAGCCAGATCTCCTCATGAAAGCTGCCCTGCAAGAAAGCTATGGAGAAGTCGAGGGAGTGCAGCTCGTAGTCACGCTGTGCTGCAACGTGCAGCAACACCCGAAGAGTAGTCATCTTCGGAGTGGGGGAGAAGGTCTG